GAATAAATGGTACAATTTTGGAATTAAATAATGTTGTTCTTCCATTCTAGACTCAGTGTTTGTGTTTTTTTCTTTCAACTCTAAAAATTAGGGAAATTTGATGTCAATTTGACACAATGAATCTCTAGTAGATTGTTGAGTTTTTTCCACTTCCATATAAGAATATAAGATATTGTACAACAATTTAAAACAACAACATATGGAGATTTTATGGTAGAAAGTAATCATTTGAAAAATCTAACATGAATGTAAACAAACATGAGCGAAGCATAAAACAAGTAAAGGTGAGAATACATAAATTGCTTTTTTGACTGGCTTAAGTCATCGGCAGACTTCTTGAGAAAAGAACAAAGAAGCGTAGGGCCAAAATCGAACTAAGTCAACCTAAACCAGTAAAGAATGTCTTAAAGTCAGGCGGGGCCGACTTTATGATACCCTACAACACTTTGCTAATTTAGTAGAGCTCCGCATCACAATTAAACGTTTTAATGGGAGAGTTCAATCAAACACGCCATGATTCTAATTATAATTTAAAGTTCAAAGGACAAAATATTTCTATCATTTAAATTCAGACTTATATTGCCCATTTGGTGCAAAATTTATTTGAGATCATATAAACATATATATGGGAGCTATATCTAAATCTGAACAGATCTCGATAAAATTTGGCAAAGATATTTCTGAGCTGTATTTGATATATTTCCCTGAATATCGTTGTTACGGAGTGCATATTACGGCTGTGGGTAACAAATATGACAAATCGGATGAACAGTATATATGGGAGCTATAGCTATATCTGAACCGATCTTCACCAAATTTGACATACTAGCTTCTAGACTCAATTCGGTCGTAAGTGCCAAATTTCATCCCATTTGGGCAAATATTAGACGTTTGGTGCACAATCAAAAGTAAATCGGACGAAGTTATATATGGGAGCTATATTCAAATCTGAACCGATCTCGATAAAATTTAGCAAAGGTATTTCTGAGCTGTATTTGATATATTTCCCCAAATATTGTTGTTACAGAGTGTATATTACGGCTGCGGAGGACAAAAATAACAAATCGGATGAACAATATGTATGGGAGCTATAGCTATATCTGAACCGATTTCGATCAAATTTGGTATACTTATTTTCAGGTCCAATCTGATCGTACGTGCAAAATTCCATACTATTCGGACTGATATTACACGCTTGGTGCACAATTAAAGGCAAATCGATCGAAGATATATATGGGAGCTATATCTAAATTTTGACCGATTATCTCCAATTTCAATAGGGTTCTTCCTTGAGCCAAACAAATGATTTGTGCAAAATTTCATCTGGATAGGGCAATAAATGCGAACTGTACATTGTTTACAAAAATACATGGACAGACGGACGGACGGACGGACATGCATAAATCGACTCAGAAGGAGATTCTATGCAGATCATCAAAAGGAACTATGGGTCCATCTCGTTTCCTTTTGCCTGTTACAAACAAATGCACAAAGACATAATACCCTGACCACCTTGTGGTGTAGGGTATAAAAAGCGTTTTATGTATTCTCACCTTAAATAAAAATACCAAAAATCGAAAGATAACGTTGTCTGAGACTTTGTGAACATGTGGACCGATTTTTCAATACCAACCATCCTAGACAAAATACATACTATTGAACCAAATTTCAAAGCCAAAAATTATAGACCGACGGATATTTTAGATTTTTATAGCCAGATGGACATAGAATTTTACATAGTTCAATTTTGGCCCTACGCTCCTTTGATGTTATCCGAAGAAGCCAGCTTAGACTTAAGCCAGTCAAAAAAGGTTTTATGTATTCTCACCTTTACATTTCATAAGTAATTCATAATTATGTCGCATTGTGAAGGTAATTAAAACAAGTAAAACAAGTTAAAAAGTATCAGTCGGTATTACCGACAGATATATACCCTAAGCCTATGTTCGATTAAATAATCGAAATATATTTGACTAGTGTTACAATTATTCAAACGCTTGGCCCTCTATGGAGCAGGTTCCGAAGGAATGAACCAATATTGTCCATTTAGTATCGGACCTAAAAATATGATATGGATTGTATCGACACACTTCTTCACTTTATATGAGATATGTAATAATTTTTAGAAAATGTTAAAATGTGCGTGATGTACCAGATAGAGTCTACCGAAATATTCCACTTTTATACTTCATCCGATACAAATAAAACATATTGAGCGAAATATTGGGCAAAATTACAAGAAAGGATATTTATTTCCAATTTTATGCGAAATCATAAATTCCGATAAATTTCATATTCATATCAGGCTACTTATTGAGAGAAATATTTGAGCATAGCAAGTAGTAAAGAATTGCTAAATTGTTTCGAAAGTTATGGCAGATACAATTATTGAAAATTGTGACCCTTTGTGGGTGAGGCACCGGTAGGGGTTCGCAGATATGTATCAACTTCACAACAGATCTTGTGTTGGCAAAAAAATTTTTATGTGTGAAATTTGAAGAGAGTTGAATGCTTATTTCGCTTTATTTGAGTGTTTTGTTTTTCAAAATCTTGAACCCTATGTATGGGGAGGTACCAGAAGAAATGGTTCGATCTATACCACCATTATAACAGATCTTGTGTTGATGGAAATATTGTGATGTGCCAAGTCTAAATGGAATCGGAAGATAATTTGGCGTTTTATGAGCTTCATGGATATTCAAAATTTTGACCCTTTGTGGACAGGTACCAGAAGCACCGGTTTATTCCATTTTTACACCAGACCTTGAATCTATAAAAATATTGTGATGTGAGTAATTTGAAGACAATCGGACACTCGCATAATATTTTATAATAGTTATAATTATTCAAAATTTTGACCATTTGTGGGGAAAGTACTTGATGGAGTAGACCATTTTCGCATCTGACCTTGCACTGATGTAAATATTAGGATACGCAAAGATGGAGCAAAATCGGATTATCTTTTCTCTTTCTGTGCAGTAAATTATTTTCTTAGAAAATGTTGACCGTTTATGGGGAGATACCAGAGGGAGTGGACCGATATTGCCCATCTTTAACGAGTTTGGATCAAATCGGATACTCTTTTCGAGAGTTATTGTGCACACCAGCCAGCAACCCAGACAAACGGACGGACGGACATCGCTAGATCGACTCCAAATATCCTGAAAAGGATTTGGCCCAAGGAGACCTAGAGTCTATAACCGTCTGTAGCCATAAGGTTGAGGGTATAAAAATCTCATAAAAAGGCCCTAAGCGTGATTGTGTGATTGATCCTTATATTTGGCTGAAAAACCACAGGTGGCTATCGTTGGAGCACTCCAGCATTTAAATGTGAAAAAATCTTTTGTGTCTCGTACCATCGCTCGTTACCATGATACTGGTAGTGTAGCCCGACGTCAAGGAAGTGGACTAAAGAAAACATCAACATCAGCAGAAATGGTTCGAAAAGTAAAGAAGCGACTTGATCAAAACCCGCGTCACAGTGGCTTAAAAATGGCTCGTGAGCTGAACATATCGCAATATACCATTCGGCAAATATTGAAAACTGAACTCGGGGTAAAGACATTGAAATTCCAAAAAGTGCAAGAGCTTAGAGCTAGAGTTTCTTCGTTTGACCGAGAAAGTTGAACTGCCGAAAATTTTCTCCGATGAGAAAATATTCGTTGTCCAGCAGTTTGTAAACAAAAAAAAATGATCGTGTTTACTTGCCAAAGAGGTCAGCCGAAAAGATGCACATTCGGATGGCCAACAGAACTCAAGCGCCGGCCATGGTGATGGTGTGGGCCGCTATAACAGCCGATGGTCGCTCTCCCCTCATATTAATCGACCGTGGCATCAGAATAAATGCCGAATATTATCGCGAAAATATTCTGGAGGGTGTATTAAATCCTTTGGCACGCAAATATTTTGGCCGCAGATCTTAGACATTCCAACAGGACTCAGCACCATCGCACTCAGCACGCGCCACCCAAGAATGTTTACAAAATGAGGTTCCTTGCTTTATTTCCAGCTCACAATGGTCACCAAAATCTCCGGATACCAATCCATTGGACTATTGTGTCTGGATTATTTTGGAAAGGTTGGCACTAAAAAATAAAATAAGTGTCGATCACCTCAGGCAAGCGCTGGGCCAGGCTGGGAATGGGCTAAAATACCGCAGAGCAACATTCGGGCAGCGTGTAAAGTTCAATTTGCCGTTTGAAGGCCATAATTCGTGCCAAAGGTGACCAATCTAAACTAACAAAACTAATTCTAAAATTTGATGCTATTTTCGACTTTTTTTCTTTCATGCAATAATATTAAAAAAAATTTAAAAATTTTGGCGTATGACTTTTTTGCATTTTTTTAATCTCACCTGAACGACTTAAGTTATCGGCTGGCTTCTTCGTACGAGAACAAAAAAGTTTTAGGGTTATTTAGTTCAATTTCGGCCCATAATTTATACTTACACACCTTAGAACACACAGAACAAGTTTTTTGACTGGTTTAAGCCTTTCAAAAAAGCTTCTTATGTATTCTCACCTTAAAGGTGTTCCTGCTCTCCTTTGCTCTTTTATGAAGAAATTAGCCGATGACTTAAGCCATTCGAAAAAGCCTTCTATTTATTCGCACCTTTAAGATGAGAATACATTGAAAACTTTTTTGATCGCTGGCTTCTTTGTAAAGAACAAAGGAGCGTAGAAGCACATTTAAGGTGAGAATACATAAGAGGCTTTTTGACTGGTTTAAGCAAGTAAAAAACGTCTTCTGTGTGTTCTCACCTTTAATGTTTATTGCAAAACGTATACAATGGACCTAGATAGTTTCTAAATTGGCTGAATTTTGCAAACTCATCCTAATTTTCTTCCTATCTTTAAATGTTTACCCCAAAACTAAAAAAATATGAACGATAGTCACATCCTGCGACTTAAAAATGTTCGTAACTTCTTTAATGACTCCAGCCGACTAGTTGATTAAATTTGTATTCTATATTATAACAGCAACCAAAAGCTACAACTTACCAAATTCTCCATTTTCACAATTTCCCGCAGCAGCAAATAATCCAATTATTAGAAAAGTGAAAATTTGCCATAAATGGCAGTTATGGCCATGAAATGAAGCCATTATTCTGGGCAGCATATCTCTTTGGCGAAGTGGTTGTATTTTATTTTTGCAATTGCTTTTCACAAAAATTTTCACACAATTCTAATTGTTTGCAATTAGTTTTTTGCTATTGTTGTTATATATTATTATTATTAATAGGAACTACTAAGTACAATTTATATTTTTTTCTTTTTTTTTTGTTGAAATGCAAGCGGCGTTAAATTATAGGCTCCTGCGCACTTTCCACGGCAGCCACCACTTTTACTGGCGAGGAATGCTTTCTTTCACCTGGCTGACGCAGCCAACTTTTGTTTAATTAACAACCGTTTCGGTCTTCTTTTTTTTTAATTTACAAATATTTGCACTTTCAACGGTTCCAGCACACAGAGTTGCGTTCGAATCGAAACGAAGTTTTTATTTTTAACCGCAAAATGCGTCTAAACCCTTCGAATGCACTTGGCCAACTGAAATGTTTCGTTGATTTGTTGGGATTTTCTCCACCACCCCTGGGAGAATTATTCTAATACGAATAAATGGCCATTAGACCAATAAAATGCCAGAGATGTGGTAGCAGCCAGCGATGGCTGATGTTTGTTGTTCTTCTTTCGTTGTTGTTGCTGCTGCTGCTGTTCACTACTTGTCCATTCATTCGTTTAAGCCATTACTATTATCAGCAACGTTGCTGCGGTTCATCTCATCATTGGCGCTTTTCCTTTTGTTGTTGCTGTTGTTGTTGTTGTCGGTGCGTTAACTGCTTTCATTACGAAGTAAGCCACGGTTTGGGTTTTTATTTATAAGCTCGGTTTAACTTTTTTTTTATTTTGATTCATTCACTTTGTGACTCGCGTGATTTTTTGTCTCACACAAACGATTGGGCGCCACAGTGGGGAGCAAAATTGGCGCAATTGGGAAGAAGACATATTTTTTCTCTAAAAAAATTGTCGTTTATGACAAAGACATATCGTGCAATTGGTCTTCTAAAGAAAAGACCACAGGGTCTTCAGTGGAGAAGACCACTGGATCTTCAATTGTTGTTGTTGTAGCAGTAGTACATTTGGATTTTTGTATTCTGCTAATCTGAAATCTTCTGGAGTGAGTTGGGTAGGTTTGGCTGAGCAATTAGGGTGGGAATACATAAAGCGCTTATCAGGCTGGCTTAAGTCATCGGCTGGCTTCTTCGGAAATTAACAAAGGAGCCTAGGTCCGAAATCGAACAGTTAACATAAAACTCCTTTATTCCTCTACGAATAAGCCTGCCGATGACTTAAGCCAGCCAAATAAGCGCTTTATGAATTCCCACCATTAAAGAGTTTCAGCGTATTGTGCGGGCCTGTATCACACGCCGGGCAGACGTCCCGCTCGTTTTCGTTAATTCGTGCCCAATACGTATTGAGACGACTAAACAATCCTGAAAGTAATTGCGCCAAAACGATTTTGTTTGACTAGGCACCTGGCGTTCATCAGCTGCAATAGATGGGTGTGTACTCCGAGGACGGCATTCATCCTGTGTAATAGCATCTGCGACTGCATCGGTATGAATGCCCTCAGACCTGCCCCATAGGTTTCTACTGGTTCTCTCTTATAGCGTTGGACCTCCTTCTCTAGATCGTGTATGTCCTTCCTGACACGCCTAGGGGCAATTATATCCACCATATGATAGTTGGGATGATTCTCTCGGTAACACCCAAGCAGATACTGCATCGAAAGCATATGATTATGCTGACGCAAAGGAAGGACTTTCGCCTCCTCATGCAGATGGTCCACTGGTGTCATGAGGAGGCACCCTATCGCAGTTCTCAGAGCAGCATTATGGCAGGTCTGGATGTTCTTCCAACGCATAGCACTAGTATTCGCAGACCACACAGTAGCCACAGGAGCTGACAGCAAGGTTTCCTTGTCGCCAACTAGCGCCTTGAGGACCTTGTTCCTGTTTTTCATCTTGTCGCAGATAGATGTGGCTTGCGTGGACGACTTTAATATGCTGTCGAATGTGACCCGTAGAATCTTGAGGTTGTTCGTGGTCGGTATTAGATTTCCGTCGACCTGCACATTCAGCTGTGCTCTTATCTCCGCAGACCATGTGTTAAAGAGTGTGGCCGTTGATTTCGTGGCAGATATTTTCATATTTCTCGCGTGGAAGTATGCAGTAAGCTCCGCGAGATAGAGGTTCAACCTTTCACGTATGTCATCGACCACCTGACCCGACACCATGATCGTACATACATTACGTCATTACGTCTGGAGGGCGAGGAATTCTGGAAAGATAGAGGTAAACAGTTCCGGAGATATCATCCCACATTAGGCAACTCCCTGTTTCACTCTACGGGCTTATGACTTCTTATTCCGGAATTCCACGTACTACTGACACATATAGTTGATTATCCAACGTCCGGAGGTTAGTTCTCTACACGTCCTCGAACAATATGGCATGATTCACCTATCAAATGCCTTTGATAGGTCAAGGGATACCAAAACTGTTCTGTCACACGGCTTGTTCTGGTTCAATCCTCTACTAATATATATGGAAATGACGTGTAATGCTGTTTTGGACGGAATCCGAGAACTACCCGATCCATTTTCCAATCTTCGGAAACTATGTGATTGGCTAGTGACAGGTTGAGAACTTTCGACAGGTACTGGACTCCCGTCGTATCTAGCTGTTTCAGCATTGCCTTTGAGATTCCGTCTGGGCCCAACGCTTTGGGTGACTTAGCGTTCCGGATGACATTTGCAACATCACCTATCGTAAACTGTGGTGGTTCCTCCTCAGTGAGAAGAGATCTGATATGACGTAGTACTCTTCGGTTAGCTCTGCCGCTCTCCGGGTGCTCGACAAATTGTCGGTTAAATTACTCAAAGCACCTCTTCGAATCAGTCACCTTTACGTCGTTAAAAGTTTTCAGGATTCGAGAGCGACTTGGCAAATTGATAGCTTCCTCTAATGCTGGGGAGAAGTAAAGCCTCAAGATTCTTAGCTACTGGCCTGTACGATTCGCCTTTGCTGGCATCCTTGCCTGGATTCAGTAGCGGGACCACCCGGCCCATTTTTCAGGCTTTGAAAACTATGTGGTTGACTAGCGACAGGTTGAGATCTTTCACCAGGTACTCGACTCCCGGCGTATCCAGCTGTTTCAGCATTACCATTGAGATTCCGTCTGGGCCCAACGCTTTGGATGACTTAGCGTTCCGGACGACATTTGCAACATCACCCATCGTAAACTGTGGCGATTCCTCCTCAGCGGGAAGAGATCTGATATGACGTAGTAATCTTCGCTTCGCTCTCCCGTTCTCGGCGTGCTCGACAATTTGTCGGTTAAACTACTCAGAGCACCTCTTCGGATCAGTTACCTTTACGTCGTTAACAGTTTTCAGGGTTCGAGAGCGACTTAACCGTTACCCATAGCTAACTCATATCGGTTCCAATGTTGCAGCACTTCATATCGGTTCCAATGTTGCAGCACTTTTTCTTCTTATGCTCCTGTACCAACCGTTTGACTTCCGCTGTCAAATCACTGATTCTACGATCAGTAGGGTTGGTACAACGGAGATCATCACGCTCATTTGCTAATACCGCTGCCTGTGCTGGAAAATTTGATGTTATCCCGCGTATTAACGGTCTCTTCTCTGTTTTTTATATAGGTATATAGCGAGCGTCTGCAGCTTTGATGATGTTTCTGAAAATCCTTTCTGTTACCCGAATATCAGAATGGTTGGACAGTTCTCTGAAAGACAAAGAGGAGTCCATTCGGCCTTCTATGAAGAAACACACGTCGGCTCTTTGGTCTTTTATGAAGAAGGCCTCTAGGTCTTCTACGAAAAACTACTTTTGGCCGATTTTTGGAAAATATCTATTCAGAAGTGGTGTTCAATTTCGCCCCTCACTGTACACGTATTTACCCAAAATACAAATACATATGTGTATGATATCAAATATAATGATATTTGGTTCTGCTTGATGGTGATTTTGTTGGTGATAGTCTGCAATACATATTATTATTATTATTAGTTATAGCAGCAGCAGTTGTTGTTCTTGTAATTTTTGTCAAATGTTAGTCTGTTAAATATTTTGTTGGCTTTTTTTGTAATTATATATTTTTGTTTGGCATAATTGTTGGAAATTTGTTTGTTGATGCCAATGATTCGAATAGTCGTTCGGTTAGTCCGACTGACTCTAAATGGCCGAGGGGCCATCACCACCATCATGTCCCATACTTTTGTACTTTAGAATTTGATCGAACATGCGATAAACTCGACAAACGGTCTCTTCTCTGTTTTTTTCATCTCCGGTAAAAGTGTTTAACTCGGTTTTTTATTGTTAACACTTTTTTTGTTGCTTTTGCGGGGAAATGAAATTATAAGTTTAAGTGCCATCAAAATGTTGGCATATCGCCTCGGTGGTCACCAGTTTCTATTTGTTGTCAAGGAATTTTGGATTTTTAATTTATTTTTAGTTTTCCGGTCCAGGCCGAAGAAAGTGAAGTGAGGCTGAGAACCATTTTGAGAAGTTGTGTGGGGTCTTTGCTCTTGAGATCACTTCTTGTTGTTGCTGTTCCTTCTTTTCGTCTTAACGTAACCAGCAAGGAATGTTAATGTATCAAAAAATAGAAAGTATTGCCCGGGGGCAACGGAGAAATAAATCATCACCTAATCTCAATGCTAAATCGAATGGTATGTGACGACCATAGAGTTTAGGTGTGGTCAGGCGGATGTTCTAGCAGTTAACGGCAATAAAAACCATGGAGAACAACTTTATATTCTATTTATAGAATACTCATTTTCAATAGACTTCAATGATTTTTAATCTATGGAAGACATTAATAGCTCAATGATTTTCTAGCAATGTAAGGCCACTTCAATGGTATTCAAATTATAGAAGCCGATTTATTTGAAATTTTTTCTTATAAAGAAATATTTAAATGTTATTCCATCTATATTATTGTCTCTTCATTAACCTTAAAAGCCAGGAAAGCCATAATGACCTTCGATTTGTGGAAGTTACTTTTAAGTTTCTTCGCTTCGTTTGGGTTTTTATTTAATTCAGCTTCTCCCACAGTTACCGCCACCTTTATCAGCCGATGTCCATGCTACCAAATTAATAGTCCATCGTTGCAGACCGTCATTATCCACTTAGGAAATGATATTTAATGACTTTATGGTAAGCTCCAATTTTGTCGTCTTCCATTCTCTTGGCTATTTGCGGTTTGCTATTGATTTCTTTCTGACAATACCCTTCCGAAACCAAGAAAATCTCTTAGGCATTTCCCACTTCTTCGATGCATTACTTTCCTGCTAATTTACCATATTCGTCGAAAAATGTTGGGGCCTTCTGTGAGTATCCGTTTTCCTATTTTCCCTCTTCTACAATAAGATTATTTATTTCATTGTTTTATCAAACTCTCATTAAGGTTGCCCTCATTGTCATTACTTCGATCAGTTTTAAATAAATTGATAACTTCCTCCCGGGGTGGTTTTCTATCGGTCAGCGAGGATACAACACCAGAATTTCCAATATCGATCTTGTTTCTTGATTTAGCCAATTGGTGTGGGATCCTTTAACATTACTTTGCAAGACCTCGCTGAAAATTTCCTAAGCACGTTTATTCCCTTACTCCAACAGACGAGATTCAAATTTTTGTTGGGAAATGTTTGCGGACAGACTCCCTATAGCAGCAAAAGAGGATATTGGTTAGGTTACTAACGGCTACATCAACATCGTCCATATTGCTTACTATT